TCAGCAAATTTAAGGACTAAATACTGAAGAAAAGGGGTTAGAGTCAGTAAAATCTGACGTTGAATTGTTCAAAAAGCAATTTTAATGAGTTTCAATTCAACAAAATGTCCGTTTTGAATGTCAAACAATTTCAGAAAAAATCCAAAAACTAAAGCAATTTTTCAAAACACCCTTTTTCAAGAGTCTGGTGCAGCAGCCCTCCACCATAACTGTCCACAATTAAGTTAAATATGTTATTAATCATCAAAATTTCAAAACTCAAAACTTTCAAAACCGCGTAAATAAAGTTTGTACAGATATACAAGAGTATGTACTTACCACCCACAATGGACGAGATTCGTAATCCAACTTTAACTGAACCTCTTTACGGTAATCCCGACCGCCATATTCATCCTAAATGGTCATATTGATATTTATTGACTTCTTGTAATGTACGTTGAGTAAATATCCAAATGTTACAGTATATCTGCATCAATTAATACCTAAGGATGCTGCATACAGTAACTGGAACGCGGAGGCAGTTGCACATGTTCAACAACGCACAAGTGACCAGAACATCCAAATGTTGAGGCTCTGTCAAACTTCGTTACTGTAATACTGTTTCCTTGTTCACAAAGATGGGCAACTGTTCCTGAATTTGTTGGTAAACACGATTGCTCCTTTAAGCCAGTTTTCCACTTCAATTGTATCGTATACCGAAACGTAGCGTATTTCTTTGTTTCCTGAGCGGTAGTGTGGAACTAATGACTTTGACACAAAAGAAAATGCTAGGGTACGTTACGACACGGTTGAAGTGGAAAACAGGCTTTAGCCTTCGAAGCGAATTCTGTTTGGGCAACTGAGTGTTTCCAAAGAAATTCCAAAGGGGAACCAAGTTGAGGAAACAATGTTTCTCCAACACTGTTCCCTAGTTTGTCCCTGGGGTCACTTGTATGAAGGCCGGATAGTGTTAACCACCGTACAGTAATTTTTCATTGTTGCAAAAAATTCATATTTATAAGTTAAGTTTCTCTTAATAAATTGTGACGTCCATATATTAGTAGTTTTCAAGCATTTTTACAAAGGTTGAAAAATCACTATCTGGTGGATAGCACTATTTGGCCTTTGTACAACCGGCCCCTGGCCTTTACAATGAGTTCTCTCTTTGTTTCGAGTAAAACACATTGCATGAAGAACGATGATCCGGTAAATTTACCTCTTCGGCTTCTTTTCCTGTCAGGGTTATTGCAGAAGATTTGGGAGCACTTTGATTCATAGAATTTTCTTACAAAACAAAGAAATAATAATGTGACGTTGATTACATTATTTGTATATGAGTACAGTACATTTAAAAAGCTGATGTGCACACATCATGCAATTCTTTACAACCAATTATATTGATGCAACTGGTCTACTGTCTGCATATCTTTTGAAATTTTCTTTCACAGAATGTTTTTCTAATTTCCTCAAACAATTTAAATTCATGGCAAAACATAAGAAAACACAGCATCGTACGGATTCGTTGTCTTGATACCACGGTATTTCAACTTTCGCACTGCAATGCTGTGAATGGGCGTAGAATGAATTAAGCCTGCTTGGCTGCTCAAACAGGATAGGGGTAGCACATTTTTTAGCCTATGTCATAATGTGGAATCGATTTATGGCGTACGTTACATATGCTGTCGAATATGGGCAAATTAAATGTAATCTGAAGATCTTCAGAGCTGAATACACGAGAAGGGACTTAATATATAGTCCGACGACCTCTTGCACTCTCTTCCATTGACTCACTGAGCAACAGTTTCTGCTGAGAGCTAACCTTGAAAGCCGGCTAAATTGGAGCCAGAAATATTCATGCTGATCATGTAATGAACCAAAAGGAATGAACTGGTTCCCCTAAATTGTTGATGTATACCTGATTCACCATCATCGTTTTTCTCTCCTGATGTCTAGAAAACATTACGTAATAATTTGATTCACCATGCAACAATACACTAAAATTGGTATCAAAATTATAGAAGTTATGAACTACAATTATCCATGATGAAATTATTGGATTTGTCCAATTCTCATAATTAAACTTTTTATTGTAAATATGCTAAAGAGAAAACCTTTCAAATTTCAAAGGCATAGGTACTCTACTTACTAACCTTAGGAGTTTGAATAGTAGCCATGATTTTATTCAACAATAATTTATTTATGCATTGCTTGTTATATATGCATGTTAGTTAGTATAAATAGACATATTATTCTGTACTTAAACCGTAATTCTGACGTAGGTTGCGGCATGCAGCCGAAAATTTAGTTTATTTTAGTTAATAAAATTTTACTTTGAGTCGCGTGGTGGATTGTTTGTTCTATAAGTATTCATGTTTCGTCTGCTGAGCGGGACATATATTTGGATATATATCATAGCTAGCATGTGGTCGGTACAAGCTCGTTCGTCAGTCGGTTGAAATCAGGGCTCAAAATAACGGCCGGTCAACGGACAATGACTAGCCAAAAATGCCTCTTGACCGGTCACTTTTTTACCTCACCGGTCACTTTGACCGGCCACATTTTCATGCCTTCCAATGTGATTGCTGACGTCTTGAATTAAAACATGAAACCATGATGTATCCAAACAAACTTCTAATAGTTTGTTTCACTGTTAGTGTAAGCGTATCAATCACCGGTCAGAAACAGATTTTGACCGAGCTAAAATCAAGCTGACTGGATCATTTTGACTGGAGACCTATCTCTCGTTATTTTGAGCCCTGGAAATGACCATACTCCC